ATAAATTAAATACATAGCTACAATGGGAACGAAAGGCTTAATAACATACAAAAGGGAGAATATGAAAAATATTTCAAATTATACATATAAAAAAAGAAAGAAGAAAAAATAAATAATTATAATTTAGATATCTTTTAACTGCGTGATTTATGTTGGGTGATATGATTTTGCTATTTAACATTTCGTCATTTCTAGTGAATTTGTATAATTTTTCACAAGCAGTCTCTTATTGTATTGGATTATTATTAATCTGTATTATTATTAACTTGTCTTATTATTAATCTTCAGTACCGCGGTTCGATGCGGATGTATGCGTGGTGACGCGCGAGCGGCTGATAACATATGTAAGCGGCATGAGCGTGCCGACCACAAGACTTTCTTTTCTATTCGATTACTTCAATTTCAAATTTAGTAATGTAATGAAAGAAGCAAAGAAATGTTCAATTCGTTATTAGAAGGTCGTATGTTCGGACCTGCTTACGCTACGCAGCATATAAAATGTTTTATAAAATCGCCTTAAATCTTTGTTCGAAGATTTAACGAAGAAAAAGGAGAAACGGATGGCTCTTGTCACAAAGCGATGATAATATTATATTATATTTATTAAAAATATAATAATGATATATGTTTCTTTGTTATTCTAAAAGAAATTAATGACACACTTGTGTGTCTAGTTTAATAAAATTACTTAGTTTATGTTCTTCTATCACAAAATCTATCAAAACCTTTTTATACACTCAATATATCCTTTAACATATTCTTTCAATATATCCTTATTAATATATTATTAAGACACGTCAAAATTATTTGTGCGCAGACGAATAACGAATAATGTCTGGTACAAAACAAATTAAAAAATATTCAAAAATTGATCGACGCACGTTTTGCGATTTCCTTTCCTCTGGATACGCATTCACACGTGTTCATAATGTCTCGACCACTATTCTTCGAATGAGTAACTTTGCGGCAAACAATGATGCTGACGGCAGTAATAATCCTGGCCATTTTCATTGTGACACCTCGTTCCATCGGGAAAATATGGATTGATACCATGGTCGAGCATTTCCAAGCGTGGTGCAAAATAATTAGGATAATTCTTTCGTACACAGTATATAGTACAGGCTACCCACGGTTTATCAACTTCATGAGGAGCCTGCCATCCCGGCTTCATTGTCAGGTCAAACATGATACGGCTGAATTCAGTGCATTTCGTAGTAGTGAACTCGGTGATTGTCTTGCGATTTTGCCGACAGAGTGAAGAATCATCGCACAAAACCACGTCGTAATATGGTCCAATGCAATTGGCTGTTCTGTGAGTCTCATGTTTGCAAAAACGTCGTTTGACTAATGCGCCTTTAGATTTTTTCAAACAACTGCTTTTACAAGTGTCTTCCTTCCATTCACTCCAGTTATCGTCTTTACAATACTTAAAAATGTATGGCGGCTCGATAACTGGTACGCATTCTTCTCCGCGACATTCCTTCCCGAGTGCGCAATAAGTTCCTAAAAAAATTTGATAAATTTAACGCTGTAGTATGTAGTGAGAATAAAAGACGTACCTGCTAGCGCCGGTCCCGTGAAATAATACGTATTTTTGTGAGGAGTTTCGCATTGTAAACTTTTACATATATCATACAACGTGACTACATTTGCATCCTTGTCGCGCAAAGATAATTCGCATTGTGCTTTGGCGGTCCATTCTCTTCCTGGCAAATTGTGATAACTCCGATTTTCAAATATATATGTGTCACTTTCGGGACTGAAATGATCTTGAAGACATGAATATGATGGATGTAATACGAGTCTCGTCCTGAGTAGCCATCTTAGTTTCTTACGACTATCCTCGGACCATAATATCTGACTTTGATTGGTCTCCCGAGCTGCCATTATGTATTCGTATTTGTCTCTTGGGTTTACTGTATCGTGTAACAATCCTAAACTGTTAAACAAATAAATTATTAATCTTGAAAATGTGTTTTACCTTGCATTATTTAATTAAAATATTTTCCAATTCTTTATAATTTATTCGTAGTTAACGTACTGTACAATTAAATAATCAAACTTCTTAAAAGAGAGAGAGAGGGAGTAAGACAGCTAAAAAATAGATTGAGGGAGAGTGAGGGGGTAGAGGAAGAGAAAAGGAGAAAAAGAGAGAGAGAGAGAAAGGGATAGAGAAAGAGTTTCTTTACTTGCTGTTTTTAAACTTTACGATTAAATAAATTGTAGTATAAAATGTAATATTTATTTACTTTATACATATAAAACTAGTTTATATAAACTTACACGTGACCAATTTCGTGAACAGCTGTGGAAGATGATCTTAAACCCGAAGATATGATTTTAGATGCAGCACGGAATTCTACTATCGCGCATGAAGTATTTGCAGTGCATATGCCATTGGGGTAAGATGCTCCCAGAATAAAATAACTCTTCGAATTGTTCTCTAAATATTTATAAATATCTATTCCGGTTAAATAAAGGCTGAGGTCCCAGTGATGCGGATTATCATCATGTGGAGGATTGTAAGTTGTCGCGTAATTGCAGAACGACCTCAGCAGTTTCTTATAGTCCCTGTCGACAACTGGCAAATTTATCGGTTGTTTCTCCATAATCTCCAAACGTTTCAACGAAATATCGATAGAGGCACCCAAACTCGGATGATGGAACATAGCCTGAATACGATTCACATACGCTAATATCATATAGCGTATTTTTTCTTTATCGTTGTCCAGAAAAGGCATGAATATGTGATATGCTGCTTCGTCGAAAAAAACTGCAAGTTCTATGGTTTTTTCTCTTTGCGTTCTTCGTACGCGACGTCGCTTGGGTTTAATATTGTTCCAATGATATAGATTTAAATCACTAAAATGTTGCACTGCCGTTTCAATAAGATGAGGTTGGGCAAATGAAAGGTTAATTTGTTCTTTAACGCAAAAATCATCGATTAAGGACAGAGGCGCAAAGTCGTTCCGCAAAGGCCGAATCTCTAATGTGACGTTTTCCATAAAAATGAGTCCTTCCTACATTTAAAAAGATTTATTTGCTTTTTGCGTAACATACTTATAAGTAAAACAGATAGATAAAAATTAAAATTAGCAATATAACATTCTTTAAATAGTACGTTTTCAAATGATACTACTGACCAATCCATTTCCATGACAAAAGTTAACGGCCGCAAAGCTGTCATGATCTTCATGAAAATAGAAGCAAGAATTCGATGCTTTATACTGCGACAACTTTTCTGTGACGCCTTTTGCATTATATTTCCATACTTCAAACGCAGACAATACAGTCTGATCGTTTCTACGCAGATTCAACTGAATCAATTTTCCGAAAACTTTGAGAGTTAATGGTATCTACAAATTGGATAATTAAGAAAATGCTTGATAATTTTCAAATAACGCTTTGGGCGCAGAGTAACAAATAAAACACTACAGTAATACGAAGTACCTCATTCAAGTCTGTCGAATTCAATGCCGGTAGTAATAATATTTCGCTATCTTGCGTGATAGACGCGTACGTTACATTTAGTAAAATTATTAACACAAATTTCAATATAAATAGCATGTTTTATTCGCGTGTTTTGATTCTTAATATTTGAAAATATTTTGTTAAAGCACTTTTATATATTACAAATTTTTATATACTTATTTTATAAGACACTTATATTTGTTATATTAGAAGATCGCGTAAGAAATACATACTGTTATCGGAGTTTAAGAACATAATGTGTGACACCTATTGTATATATTTTTAACGCTTATACATACACATATCTGTTTCTTTTTCAGTTTCGTATCATTTGTACATTTGACATGAGATACTTGCAATAACGGTAAAGTTTTAAAACATACAATTTTTGTTCGAAATGTAGAAAATGTAATTTTATTTACAAAAATTTCAATTATTTACAAATGTCAAATTTTAATTGATGACAATCGAATTTTTTTTAGGGTCACAAAAGCATTACATTGCGCGCACTGTCTTTTCGTGCGCAATTATCAAATAAAATACAATTGGAAACTATATTAAAATACAATTCAAAATTTACGTTTTATTATAATTTATTAAATGATTGATACTAATCATAAAAATAAAAAAAAATGTAAATACTAGCATTAATGATATAGCAATAAAAATGCTGATCTATGCAACTTTGCATAATAATTGTATATCAAATTAAAATCATATTGTAATCTAATGTAGATATAGATAAAGTTTTATATTTTACAAAATCTACGAAATCTAAATAAGAAAAAAAGGACTTCTCAGGTCGTAAGACCAAATAATTGGAATATTATAATATTATTTTTATGTCGATATAGTTGTAATATATATTTCTTTGTAATTAAAAAAATAAATGGCACGAGTAGCACGTTCTTATGCGACTAGAAAAACAAAATTACTTAATACATTCCTTTTTACAATCACAAAACCCAAAAATCATATTCACTTAACATATCTTATATTTCTAAGAAACGCCGAAATTATTTTTGTACACAAACAAATAACAAATAATGTCTGGTATAAAACAATTTAAAAATTATTGACTCACGCGCGTTTTGCCATTCTTCTTTCTTTGGATAACTCATTAATACATATGGATAGTGTCTTTATCATTATTCTTCGAATGAATAGCTTTGCGGCAGACAATAATGCTGGCGGCAGTAATAATTTTCACCATTTTCTTCGTGACACCACGTTCCATCCGGAAAATATGGGTTGATATCATAGTCGAGCATTTTGAAGCGTAAGTTTGCTGTGTCATAAGAAGGATGTTTCTTTCGTACACAGTGTATAGTACAGGCTATCCACGGTTTATCGACTTCATGGGGAGCCTGCCATTCCGGCTTCGTTTCCAGTTCGAATATGGTACGGCTGAATTCGGTGCATTTCATAGTCGTGAACTCGGTGATTGTTGTACGTTTTTCACTACAGAGTGAAGAATCATCGCACAAAACCACGTCGTAATATGGTCCAATGCAATTGGCTGTTCTGTGAGTCTCATGTTTGCAAAAACGTCGTCTGACTAATGCACCTTTAGATTTTGGCAAACAACTGCTTTTACAGGTGTTTTCCTTCCATTCACTCCAGTTATCGTCTTTACAATACTTAAAAATGTATGGCGGCTCGATAATGGGCACGCATTCTCCTCCGCGACATTCCTTCCCGTGTGCGCAAACAGTTCCTGAAAGAAAATCGATAAATTTAACGCTGTAATATTTAGTAAAAATAAAGGACGTACCTGCAAGCGCCGGTCCCGTAAAATGATACGTATTCTTGTGAGGAGTTTCGCATTGTAAATTTTGACATATATCATATAACGTGACTACGTTTGCATCCTTATCTCGCAAAAATAATTCGCATTGTGCTTTGGCAGTCCATTCTCTTCCGGGTAAATTGTGATAACTCCGATTTTCAAATAGGTATGCGTCATTTTCGGGTTCGACATGATCTCGAAGACATGACCAGTATCCCGTCGAGAATAGCCATCTCATATTCGTACGACTATACTCGGACCAAAAGATCTGACTTTGATTGGTCTCGTAAGCTGCCATTATGTATTCGTATTTGTCTCCCGCATTTTTTGTATCATGTTTCAATCCCAAACTGTTGAATACTTAAATAATTAATCTTCAAAAAGTGTTTTACACTGCATTATTTTAATAAAATATTTTCAAATATTTTATAATATATTCATAATTAACGTTCTGGACAATTAAAGTATTAAATTTCTTAGAAATGAAAGTTAGGAAGAGAGAGTTTTTCTACTTGTTGACTTTAAACTGTACGATTAAATAAATTTTAATATAGAAAGTAATTTTTACTTACTTTATACATATCAAACTAGTATATAGAAAGTTACATGTGACTTAAAATGTATACACTTACACATGAGCAATTTCATGGGCAGCAACGGAAGATGAACTTAAACCCGAAGGTATCGTTTCAGATGCAGCACGAAACTCTACTATCGCGCATGATTTATTTGCAGTGCATATGCCATTGGAGTAAGATGCTCCCAGAGTGACATAACTCTTCAAATCGTTCGCCAAATATTTATAAAGATTTATTCCGGTTAGATAAAGGCCAATGTCCCAATGACGCGGATCATTATCACGTAAAGGATTGTACATTCTCGCGTAATTGCAGAACGTATTCAGCAATTTCTTATAGTCGCTGTCAACAACTGGCAAATTTATTGGTTGTTTTTCCATAATTTCCAATCGTTTCAACGAAATATCGATGGAGACACCCAAACTCGGATGATGGAATATAGCCTGAATACGATTCACATACGCTAATATCATATAGCGTATTTTTTCCTTATCGTTGTCCAGAAGAAACATGAATGTGCTATATGCTGCTTCGTCAAAAAAAACGGCAAGTTCTATGGTTAACTTTTGTTGCGCATTTCGTACGCGACGTCGCTTCGGTTTATATTTGTTCCAATAATTTAGATTTAAATCACTAAAATATTGCAGTGACGTTTCAATAAGATGAGGTTGGCCAAATGAAAGATTAATTTGTTCTTTAACGCAAAAATCATCGATTAAAAACGGAGGCGCAAAGTCGTTCCGCAAAGGCCGTATCTCTAATGTGACGTTTTTCACAAAGATAAATCCTTCCTATTTTTAAAAAAGATATACATATTTGCTTTTTGTGTGACATGTTTATATACATATATAATAGAGACAAATAAATATTAGCATAAAAAATAGAACATTTTCCAAACAAATTTCATATGACATTTTTCATACGATCAACTTATTTTTCTACTGACCAATCCATTTTTTTGACAAAAGCTGACGGCCGCAAAACTGTCATGATTTTCATGCAAATAGAAACAAGAATTCGATGCTTTATATTGCGACAACTTTTCTGTGACGTTTTTCACATTATATTTCCATAGTTTTAACGCAGACGATACAGTCTGATCGTTTCTACGAAGATTCAGCTGAATCAAATTTCCGAAAACTTTCAGAGTTAATGTTATCTGCAAATTAAATGACAATTAAGAAAAAATAAGATAATACTCAAATAACGCTGTTTGTTGGTGTTGAGCAATAAATAAGATACTACAGTAAAACGAGCATACCTCCTTTGCGTCTGTCGGGTTCCATGCTGGCAGCAATATTATTTCTTTATCTTGCGTGATACAAGCGTACGTTACAATTAATAAAATTAGTAATATGAATTTTAATACAAAAAGCATGTTTTATTTGCGTGTTTCGATTTTAATACTTCAAAATATTTCAAACAGTTAAAGCACTCTTATATATAACAAATTTTTGTGAAGATACGTCGTAAGACTTTTATATCTGTCATACCTTAGAAGATCGCGTTTAAAACACGTACTGTTATTTAACGAATAGTATGTGACTCTTATTGTATATATTCTTTATGCTTATATAT